GACCCATTGATTTCAAAACAAAAGCTTAGTAATAAAATCAATGTAGTTTTTCGTTAAAATCAGGTAGAACATTTTCACATTCGTCCCAATGATTATTAGTTTGGTAGAAAAAGTTATTCCATTGTTGAACTCCTGACTATTCGAAGATAGAAGTCCTCTTTAAGTAATGTTGTAGAAAAATGTTCCCCTAGCTACAGTATAATCAAAGAAATGAGGATTGTTGTTTTCAATAGGAACTTAACAGGCCTTGATTAGTACAGTCAAAAGTTTAACATGTTAAATTTCCAACTACAGGTATAAATGTGACAAAGCTAGTGAGGCCATCACTTAATTGGAAAGTGTGCCAGGTTTGGACAACTGAATAGAATTGCCATTAACTCTGTTCAGTGACTGATAGAAGCCATGTTTTTAATACTTTTATTCAGAAGTCATATACCTTACCTGTTACATCAATCCAAAAAGTAGCTTGTACCTCTCCTAACCAGTTTGCGGCTGTACATCCATACAAGCCAGTGTCGTCTAAAGTCATGTTATCATCAAAGTATGTGTTTTTGTTTTGGTTAGCAAGATCCACGCCATTCTTAGTCCAGTTAATCTGTAGTGGACGATCACCCCACACAATGCATTTCATTTTAAACGTGTGGTTCCATGCAACAGATCGATTCCTGAGCTCAGGGTACAGTTCAGGTGGAGCTTGGGAAGCAAGAGAGTTAAGGAGTGAATTTGCTGTTTACATGTACATGAAATTTCAAAATCCTTTATGAACAAACAAGCCAACTTGGTGAAATTAAAAAAAATATATACTGTAGCCATCAAGTTGATCAATGTTTCCCATGTATTACAACCCATGAATAAAAATTGTATGCACACAATTTCCATGTTTGATACATATGTACATCATGCATGCATTGCTATATAGGACATTTTTATACTGCAGTCAAACTTGCATGAGCAGCCACCCTTGGGAAGTGGAAAGGCCAACATCTTTTTCAAAACCAAGCCCAAACCACATGTATTACATCATTGCTGGCTGCTTAAAACAGAGGTAGAAAGAAGAAGGAGACGACGACGACGACGACGACGACGACGACGACGACGACGACGACGACGACGACGACGACGACGACGACG